CGTGGCACGCTGGATGTCCATCTGCCAGCGTAGCTGTCCGAATTCCTCCATTGCTTTGGTTCTCAGGACCATGCTCATGATTTCGATGGAGTAGTCCCCCTCAGGTTCCAAATGGTCCTGCATGCTGTCGCCAAGCTCGAAGTTTTCGTCCAGAAAAGTTTCGGCCGCACGGGGCATGTCGACCGGGTCAATGCAATGAGCCCCGAGGACATTATTCAGAGCGTGGAGGCCACACCGGAGCGCCTCCTGACGCTCGAAGAATCGCGGTTCCTGGCCTGCTGCCTCTGATCCATCCTGTTCTCGACTTTGAGTCTTGGCCTTTTTGGCCGCTGGCGCAGTTGCTGGGGAGCTGTCCATGGCTGGTCTCTTGGGTGCGATGGTGGCAGGGAGCATGAGGCTGGGTTTTGTATTGGCGCTGTTGCCTTTGCCTTTGGCTTGGGTCTTGGCTGTGGCTTGGTTCCGGCCTTTGGCCTTGGCTGTGCCCTTGGCTTTGGCTTTGGCCTTTACTTTGGGCGCGGGCTTGGCAGGACACGTTCGCCGGTGCTGCTTCTTGGCTGCTGTGGTGTCCGGTACCTCCTGCCCGCAATCCGGGCACTGCCAAGGAACCTCATCGTGTCCCTGTTTCCTCTCTTCCTGCCGCAGCCAGTCTGGACTGCGCATGTTGCTGAGCTTGCTCTCGTAGAAGTTCTTGCTCTCGGTTGGTCGGAAGAGCTGCTTCCAGAGCTGTGAACCATCGCGGCCGGCCTGCTGAGCCTTGAGCTTGGTTAGCGCCCAGTCTGCGTTGGCGTTGAAGCGCAATGCTTTGAGGTTGACTTAGCGGATTGTTGAGAGGAGCAGGTGTTGCAGGGGAGCTGATGCGCGAAAGCAAGAATAACAAAGGACGAGAGAATAAAAAGAGCAGACCAAATTCACATACAAGAGAACGATGCGGAATACAAGTAGAGATCACTTTCAGCCCAAAAGTAGGAGAGCATCGAGCAAGAAGCAAGAAGCACGACAGGCAAGCATAAGAATCAAGAAGCACGACAAGCGAGCATATAAAAGAGCAAAAGCAACTTTACCCTAAAGAAACAGCAATAGTTGGGGAAAATAATGGTTTAGGGGCTTTCGAAGTATGTGCCCTAAAGCTCCCTAAAGCCAAAATAGGAGTAAGGAAATTAATGCTTTAGGGTTTTTTCGGGAACTTTACACCCTAAAGAAGTAGGGCACTAGTCAGCAAAATACGGGCTTAGGGGTTTTATGGGTTGGGGGCTTTATACCACCTCCCAACCTGATCCTGCCACTGCATGTGGCGACCGGTGGGTGGCCGGAGTTGCGGCGGCTCGGACGAGGAGGACCGCCCGCCTTGCGCAGTGGTCGGATAGGGTTTTGGGCTAGGGTTTTTTTTGGGGTCGGGGGGACTTTCGGTTTTCTGGATCGCATGGTAGTGGCAGTGGATGGGTTGCTGGAGATAATGCGATGGGAGAGATGAGATATAAGGCGATGGGTTTCGATGAGGTGAGTGCGAATTTTAGCGGAGGAGTTGAGATAAGCGGGAGAAGAGCGATGAGCGGAACATGAGATGATTGGGGTTGGGATCTTCCATAAAAGGGGTGAAGGCGCCTTTAGGCGCACAAAGGCGACTTCCTCGTTGTGACTAATGAATTAGCAATTAGCACTTTTCAGCTCCGATCCCTCAGCAGACTCATCAAGAAGTACCCAAGATAACATGGCGCCTCGTTGCAAGAGCAAGCAGAATCGACGCCTGGGGCAAGCCCACGCTTTGCCTGGTGCGGCATGGAAGCAGTGGATGGCGCATGTGAAGCAGGAGGCAATGCCCAAGTACTCCTTTGCCCTATGGCTTACCCAGGCATTCTGTCTGCGCATCACGCAAAGCCTGATGTTGAAGACAACGGACATTGACTGGAAGCTAAAGCGTGTATATATCAAAGCTTTCAAAGGGCATCGACCATGCTGGAAGCCCATGGTTCCAAGCGTGTACGACTTTATGAAGAAAGTCTACACTGCGGGTATAACAAACCGCGCTCGGCAATCATGGTCGTGGCCTCGCCAGGGCTACTTGTTCCCCTCCGTCCGCAAGCATGCCAAAAAACCCCACATCAGCAAGGATGCCATCAGCCACGTGATTGTGAAGGTGAGGAAGTCTTTTCTCGAGAAAAACCCCCACTACAAGAGAGATAAGACCATCAGATCACACTCAGGCAGGCGCCATGCAATTTCCAGCTTCGCGTCCGGCGGCCTCTCACAGGATGTGGGAATGATTTGGTCACAGATCAGCAGTGTCCGCATTTACCAGGGGTACATCGATTGCGAGCCAGAACAGGTGGCTCCACAGATGAAAGCCTTGGACAAGCGCCAGCGCATCGGGTGACCATGTACTGTACGATACAAGTTAGTCTGCCTCTACCAGTCGATCTAGGTCTCGAGGTTCTGATTTTTTGAGTGCTTCGCTGCATCGTCAAAGGCATAAATCTTCAGAAGACAGCCACAACCTAAACCCTGACCCCCTAATCTCCAAGCCTGAAAAACAACCCTAAACCCCTAAACCCCAGTCCCCTTGATCCCTCATTTCAATCAAAACCCCAAACCCTTATCTCTGCAAGACAAATCATCACCAGTCCCCGATTCGACCCGAAAACCCAACAGCCCTAACAGTTCCAACTGTCTGAACAGCCCACCGCAGGAGCGGGCGCTTGGCCGTGATGGTGCACGTCCTGGCGGGGGTCCGGGTCCTATATTCTTGGAAAAGGGTGGGTCCCTAGCATCTCTGTTCCGGGTTTGGTCTTCGGTTGTCTGTGGCTTGTATACAGTATTACATAGCTAGAATAGCTTAGGGCTCGAAGCATTCCAATCAAATATATCTTCCTGGATCGCTGGTTTAGCTAAGAAACCATCTGCGACAAAATATCTGGGGAAGCAAACCCTGCCCATATTAATATTCTCGTACCTGGACGCCTGACGGTACGGTTTTGTTGCTTTTGTTTCTGGGCGGAGGTTTCGTCAGCAGGTTGTGTCGACTGTCTGTGTCGGATTTTAGGGTTTAGGGCTTAAAGTTACCTTGTTTAAGTACCGAAAACCCATAAGACCTTAACCCTGAACCGTCCTCATCCCCACACCCCTAAAGCCTTGACCCCGAAACCTTAAACCCCTAAACCCCTAACCCCTGAGCCTTAACCCCAGTTCCCTAAACCCCTAAACCCTAAACCCCTAAACCCCTAACCCCTACACCCATGAATGTAAGTCTCGACGTTCTAATTGTTTTGAGTGCTTCGCTGCATCGTCAAAGGCATAAATCTTCAGAAGACAGCCACAACCTAAACCCTGACCCCCTAATCTCCAAGCCTGAAAAACAACCCTAAACCCCTAAACCCCAGTCCCCTTGATCCCTCATTTCAATCAAAACCCCAAACCCTTATCCCTGCAAGACAAATCATCACCAGTCCCCGATTCGACCCGACAACCCAACAGCCCGAACAGTTCCAACTGATTGAACCGCCCACCGCAGGAGCGGGCGCTTGGCCGTGATGGTGCACGTCCTGGCCGGGGTCCGGGTCCTACATTCTTGGAATCGTGTCGGTACCTAGCATCTTTGTTCCGGGTTTGGACTTCCGTTTTGCATCCATTGAGGGTCCCAGCTAGAGTAAATATCCACAGCAATCGTTGTGTGGAACGGATGAATCTGCAATTGCTCAACGATCTGTCTGCAGGCTTCTACAAAATTCCTTCGGGCGGCGGACTCTGATCCAGGCGGCATACAGCCGGGCAGAACGGGGCTTTCAAGGGGTTCCAGAATGGTATTCAACCTAGCGTCACCCACAGCCTCGGGCTAGATCCATGTTCCTTGCAGGCCTCTAGAGTCTAGAGGTCTATGTGACCGCTGTTCCATTCTCGGAAAGAAGCACTACGATCTACCGTCACGTCGTTGCATTCGATCAATGCAGGTCCAGACTGCTGGAGAGCAAAGGCACGTGCAACGAGGTATTTCAGGGCCCAAAGTAGACTTTCCATACCGCTGCAATCGCTCGACACTTTCAAAACGTGCGTATGCCGGGCAGACATGCCTTACACTAGCCATGCGAGCCATTGCAGAAGCCAGCTAGGGATCTCGGGTTTTCCAGGGTATTGCAGAAGCAAGCCAGGGATCTCGGGTTTTCAAGGGTATTGCAGGAGCAAGCCAGGGATGTCGGATGTGCAGGGGTATTGCAGAAGCAAGCCAGGGGATCTCGGGTTTTCAAGGGTATTGCAGGAGCAAGCCAGGGATCTCGGGGTTTCAAGGGTTGTGATATTGCAGAGGAGTTCGTGGTTGCCAGCACAGCACTCGACCCCAAATGCTGCAGATGTCGTGTACCTGAGGACATGGTGGTATGTAAACTCGCTTGCCTGAACATGCTTGCATGGCTCCTCGAAGTCAGGCTGGAACTTCTTCAGCTCGGCGACCTCGGCAAGGCTGGCAGAAATGGAGACAGACTATTACTAAGAGACTGGGCTTGTGTTCCAGTATGCAGGCAAGGTTTGCTCTTCATGCCGTGCCAGGTGTCTGTGTCGTGCCCCCCAAAGGAAGTAGACAGTGCTCTTTATGACTTTGGACTACTATTCCGCGGATTTCTTCAAATCAAATGAAATATCGCAGTCTGAGAAACCTCGCAGAGCAATGCCTGCTTCAGGGTGGGCTCAATTAACGTCATGGGCAACTGCGCCGCTGGCTTAGCAAGGCTCAGCTGCAAAAAGGCCGGCCCTCCGGGCGCGGCATATGACTATTTCGGAGCTGACATCAAAATCGCTCCTGATTACACGTGTCTGGCCAGCATGTACAGACTCTGTCTCGGATCTTGCGTGCTCGGCACTGCTGTCCCTTGCTCAGGCAGCTTCCTCGGCCTCCCTGGCCTCCGCTTGCTTCTCGATCTCATCCAGCACGGCTTGCAGGCCTGGGGGTCATTCAAGTGCAAGGTCGGAGTGGATGAAACACAACAGTAACAAGCCGTAATTTGAGGTTCAGGGCTTTATTCATCTTTATGGTGGACGATGCTTACTGGAAGGCCTGGAAAGGATGTTGCAGCAGCATCTGCATCACTGGGCCCGGCGCCTCGGCCTCTCCCTCTCTTTCTCAGGCTCTGACCCAAGCGGCCTCCCCGCTTCCCACCTTTGCCCCTGCCGCCCTTGCGATTTGGCCCTGTCTCCTCACCACCGTTGCCTTGCCCTTCATCCTCATTGTCACCCTGGCCGCCCTTAGCACCCTCCGTTCCTGCTGCAGCACCCTGCTTGCCCTTCCCGCGTTTGCCCCTGCCCTTGCCCTTTCCCTTGCCCCTTCCTTTGTTCTGCTCGGTCCCTTGCTCCTCTTGCTCATTCCTGGCGAGGTCTGCCACCATGACGGACTCGTACAGAGCTGCACAGTTCTCGTCTTGCATGAGGTTGACAACTCGCTTCACGATGCGATCGTAGAGCTTGTCTTTGTGAATAGGATTGTTGCACAGGGCAACGTATGGCACGCCATGACAGATGCAGGCTACCGCACAGTTCTCGTTCTGAGGTGTGAGATCTGTGACAGTTCCAGCAAAATACCCGTGCACCATCTCGCGCCAGAAGTTCACGCTGTTAGCATGCCATGATAGGGGCTCCACGTCGGTGAGGGCTTTCCGACCTCCTCCGAGATCCTCTCCGCCGCCCAAAGGACAGGGCCCGCTGCCCTCCTTCCGGGTATCGCCTAAGATCTCGCGTTTCTCGACTACAGGCAGAAGCCACTCCACCTTCGCATCATTGATGTCCTGCAGGAGACCAAGGTGTACCAGCAGCATAAGCATGAGAAGCGGCAGGAGCAGTAGCACAGGGGCAACAGGAGGAGCAGCAGTACCAGGATAAACGATATACTTCTAGATAGGAACACGTGGCTTAACAGGTAGCAATGCAGATTATCCGTAAAACAAGAAGCATTCCTAGCCCAAATAGGATCATGGGACTACGGGTCTGTCCTCAAGTGTCACAGGTCCCAGGTGATTGAACTTGTTGGAACTTGTGTCTTTGGAGAAGAAAAGCCTTTTGCGTGACTCCAACACAAGTGGATCCTGGGTAATCATGCATGCATGCTCCACTACATCCATGTCCACGTCATGGCACCTCAGACGGGTTCGACGGAGCAGTGTGGACTCATCATACGTGATGTACAGGATCTTCCTGGACTTCTGCATCTTGTTGTTCTCTGTGTTGAAAGCCTTCTCGAATGTCGCGATGTGCTCGTGCTTGCAAGCATCGAAGAAACAATAGAGGCTGTCATTGGTGATATAGATGGCATCGTCATCCTCCTCCTCGCATCGCGCTTTCAGGCAAGCCTGCACTGCTCCAAGCATGTACATGGGTCTGTGGACCGGCTTCCGCACATGCGGCCGTGTCTTGCACTCACCTTCGGTTTTGCAATCATACACATGCATGTGATAGTGCTTATCCGAGGGCAGTGGCAGCTTGTACGTGGCGCAATCCCGGAGCATTTGGCACATTTCCTCTGAACTCGAGTTGGATGGCCGCACCAAAAGTTCAACAAGTCGTCGCACCTTGTCCTGCGCTTTGGCCTTCCAGCGTGCCCAGGCCTCAGCCATCTCATCGTCCATATCCGCAGTCTCGTCGTCCTCCGCTGTGGCAGTGGCGATGGGCACCACGGCGCTCTCGCCATTTGCAGGCTGAGCAGCTGATGCCTGTTCCCCCTCGGTCACGGATTTCAGCTGTGCGGCTGCTTCTTCTTTGGCCTCCGTCCGCAACTGCTCCTGCCTCTTCTGAAGGCTGCTAACAGCAACCCCGATGCTGCCGTAGAGCAACACATCTGCCGGCACTTTGTTCAGCTTGACACAACTTCGGATACAGGTGTCGTGCAGCTTGCTGAAGATGATATGGTCCACGAGGTCCACGAAGCTGCCCTTAGAACCCGAAACAGTAAACCCTCACATAAAAAAATGTAAGCCCTAACAAAGCCCAAACCTTAAAGCTACGGGAACAGCCACGTGGCGAGTAGTTCCGGAAGATTGCTGCGCCAGCTACGCACATCACCCATCTCTCTGAAGCCACATGCGTCCCTGAAAGCCTGATGCTTTTGCAGCTTGTCTCGCACATTCGCTGCCTCCTGCCCCAGGATTGCAGAGTTTTAGGCGAAAGACTTTCAAGGTGCAAGGAATTTGGGACTCAATGCTTTAAAAGGGATCCATGAGGGTACTAGAAGGGACTTTTTTTCCTTCTGTCGGGTTCCTTTACAGGAGGATCCATAAGGGTACTAGGAGGGATCAAAAGGCTTCCTTGAAGACAAAGGCATCCAGAAAGGTACCATAACGCATCTATTGGCTCCAGAGCTTAGGACCTTAGGCTTTGGGATTCATGCCTAGGTTCTGCTGAAAGGATAGCCTATGAGGCCCGTATTTCTGTAGCAAACTTCTTTCGGGTCCCTAAATCCTAGCCCCTGAAACCCCTAAACCCGCAAGTCTTCAACCCTAAACCCCGAATCCGACGAATCGACAACCGTCCTGTGAAGAAATGTCCAACTTCGCCAACTCGGTGTGCAGCAGTTCCTGGAGCACGTCGTACTTGAGGGCGATGACGTGAACAAGGGTCACTTTGTCTGCACCGCTAAGTCGACTCTTCGTTATGTCCTCCTTGGACAAGACTTTTGCCCTGGCTCCATCCAAGATCCCCTCGAAGACCCACGCCATTTTGGCGGGAGAGGCCTTCTTGCATGCCAAGGTAATGTGGTACATCTGCTGAACCGAGGAGAAAGGAGAATCTTGATTGAAATCCATCTCGGCCTGCTGGACGGTCTCTAGGATCCCGGGAGCAGCCTCGATTTTGTTCCACAGCGAAAAGCAATTTTCCAGGAAATTCATGGAGGGTGCTTCGGACTCCTTGGACCAGTGACAGCCCTTGAAGTACTGGTACACCTTCTCTGTGGTGACCTTTCCGGCTGGCCCTTTGATCTCCTTCTTCTTCTCCACCATGAGCAGCATCATGCTCAGCGGGGTCCTTTTGATGGCACGCACGTCGTCCGTCATCTTCTCACGGAGAGTCATGGCTTCCTTGGCAAAATCAGCATTCGGGGGCCGTGAGACCACCTGCAGGGGGGCCAGCAAACCCTAAGTTTTCACAAACCCTAGCCCTCGATGCAGACAACGAATCTTTTGGTGATCTGTGAACTGTTCGCCTTGTAGTGCACATTGAGCAAGAGGCCTTGGTATCCGACGATGTCCTCGTCGGTCTCTGCCATGGCAGCTGCGTAGAGCAGGGCAAACACAGGCTCCTCCGGCGACAATCGTTTGAGTTTGCCTTCCAAGGACATCAAGTCCTCGTCCTTGCCTTCGCTGGCTACGGTGATGTCGAAAGGGACAGCCTCGGGCGGACCGTCATTGTAGTGGGTCTCCAACTGTTCCAAGATGGCTGCACGATTGACAGGCAGCGTTGGCCAGGGACGGTACCGAATGTCGTGGATGAAGATGCTTGCATTGAAACGAAATATGCCTCCGTTGGACAAAGCCTGCGTGCAGGCCACCTGGCAAAACCTCGCTCCACTTCCCCCATCTGTGACGGACAGGGCAGGCATCTCCTCCACGTTCGGGTACTTGTCGAACAGTTGCTGGATGTGTTCCTCGAAGTCAAGCGTGAACTGCTTGTTGAGGTTAGGCCCGTTCGAAGAGCTTTCCGCCGGCGCCACTCTCTGGGACTTCTTCGCGGGGGGCTGTGCCGCATCGGCAATCGCTTTGCGACCTGGGCTTTGCTCGCAAGATTCTTAAAACAGCAAACTCAACCAGAGCAAAGCGAAAGCCCTGAGAGAAGAAGACAGAGGGGGTGTGAGATAAAAAGAAAGAGAGGTAGAGAGAGAGCGAGAGAGAGAGAGAGAGAGAGAGAGAGAGAGAGAGAGAGAGAGAGAGAGAGAGAGAGAGAGAGAGAGAGAGAGAGAGAGAGAGAGAGAGAGAGAGAGAGAGAGAGAGAGAGAGAGAGAGAGAGAGAGAAGAGGAGATGGAGAGAGAGAGAGAGAGGTGAGAGGAGAGAGATAGGGAGGGAGACGAGAGAGAGAGAGGGAGAGGGAGAGAGAGAGAGAGAGACAGAAAAAATAGGTGCTTCTTCAAGGGTGCTTCCGAGTCACTAGGAAGCACCCTTGAAAGGTGCTTCTTCAAGGGTGCTTCCTAGTCACTAGGAAGCACCCTTTTTTCCACGATCATCATCATTCATCATTATGTTAAGAGGAGAGACAGGGAGAGAGCGAGAGAGAGAGAGAGAGAGAGAAACGGGACGCAGGTTAAAGACGCAGATGGGTAGCGATGGGGAGATCGAGACAGAGAGAGAGAGAGAGATCGTACGGCGGCCAAACCACGCGACATCTTCGTCGTTGAGGTAGTGCTAGGATTGCAAGCGTGGCTGATGCTCTTGGCTTCAGAAGCGGCTTCAGACGAGCAACATTTCATCTCAGAGCCCCTGTCTAGCTGACGCAAGGCATGGTTCAAAACACGAGTTCTTGAGCGGGGTCTGCCTAGGAAGATCCTGTCCAAGCCCGCCCTGGGCTCATGACCTGACCTCACCAATGCACTGGGTGCCTGTGCTATTTGCTGGGTGTTGGCGGGTTATGTCCGCCGGCTGGGTTCGGACAAAATCTTCCTAGGAAGATCTGCCCTAAGGGGTGGTATTTTCTACTACGTGTTCGGTCTAGCTGTGCCCGCAACCCTGACCCACTCAACCTGCAAATCAGGGGAGCCGGAGGTCGCGGCGAAGTCGCTGCAACTCGAGCTCGTCCTTGAGCAGCCTGTGCGCCGCTCAATGAGTTCTGGACGCTGGCGGGTTAAAGACGTAGGCTTCAGAGCTCTTCCTGGCTTGACGTTTTGCCCTAAACTCCGAGCTGAACCGCAGACCCGAAATCTGAAATCGGACACCGGAAACCCAAACCTAAACCCTTAAACCCTTAAACCCTAAACCCCTAAACCCCTAGACCCTAAACCCTAAACCCCAAACCCTAAACCCAATACCCTAAACCAACTGCTCTTTCTGTACAATTACTGCAAGGTCTCACAGATTAGCCAATGCCCAACTCCGCCTAAACCTAACCGCGGCACCCGGTGCCTCGCCTTCGCTCGGACCCCTCGGTTAGGGGTTAACGGTTAGGGGTTTACCTGTAGTCTCCATTGTAGTTCCTTTTCGTGGTTTGACCAAGTATATATGGATCCTATACGGTAACCAAAGGAACTACAACGGAGACTACAGGTAAACCCCTAAGCCCAAAATCCCGGCTCAAGCCGATCTCCAGAAGCAAGGCCCTCAAAAGCCCCAAATCGCTCGATGTCCGAGCCTGGATGATCTTCTTGAGGTGGTGGTAGACCTGTGAAGGGTTTAGGGTTTAGGGTTTAGGGACCTTCTTGAGGTGGTGGTAGACCTGTGACCCGTTTCGGGGTTAGGGGGTTTAGAGTTGAGGGAGTTTAGGGGTTTTGGGGTTGAAGGGTTTTGGGGACTATCACAGGCGAAGAAGTGTAGAGGACAGCTTAGGGTTTAGGGTTTAAGTTTAGGGGCTTAGGGTTTTTAAGTTGAAGGGGTTTGTGGTTGGCATTGAGGGCTTTGGAGATTTGGGGTTCAGGCTTTAAAGCTGCCGAAGGCGGCGAACCCAAAAAGCCTCAAACTTCAAAACCGGAAACACAAAACAAGAGCCCAAAACCCCACACGCTACAGCCTAATTCCCAACTCCCAAAACCACCACACCATTGCAGTCGCCATTGTTACCCCCAAATCCCCAAACCCAAAAGCGCATAGCCTCAGCTCCAATCTGAATAGCTTCTCGGAAGCTGCTGGCCCCCACGGGAAGGATCATGAACTCCTGTCGGCTCTGCGGGGTTTAGGTTTAGGGGTTTAGGGTTTAGGGTTTAGGCGTTCTTTGGCGTTTTTTGTTGGTAGGGGGGTCATGCAGGGGACACCGTGGAAGCGACAAGTGCCAAGTTCATATGGCCTTTGCATGGGTGGCAGTGGCCCTTGTCCCTTTCAGGGTGCTCTGAACCTGATTATCTCCACAAGACAAGAAAGGCGATATCTAAGATCATCGGTGAAACGGCGAAGCCAGATCTGGGTTCGCCTGTATATGTTTATAGATGTATGTCTTTGTATATATATATATACATACAGATCGTTTGGATAGAGACATCGACATGGATAGATAATATACTTCCTCTTGCGCAGTACCATAGGGTGCAGGGCTTCGGAAGTTTACCGTCCGGGCTGTAGCATGGCCCCTGAAGCCCCACGCCCCCGTGACACACCGAAGCCTTCCAAATCCCCTTAACCCCAACTACACCCACACCCTGAAGCCGGTTATGCTTGCCGACCTGTGGATCAGGCCGTTGCCGGGACCTGTGGAACCGGCCGTTGGCCTGGGAAGCAGGGCTTGGATTTGAAGGATGAAGCTTATTATTGTTGGCTTGGGGATTTTCTCTTCCAGTACCAAGCCGCAGGATCATTGCCGTTGCCATTGAGGGGGTTCCTTGTTATCAGTGGTTTCAGGCTTTAGTCTTTAAAGCTGTAGCGTTTAGGCCTCCTTCCAGGATCCCGCTAGATGGTCTCTGGTAAAGGCCGTGTGGTTCTCATTATTACTTGCAGTTAGGGGGGGTTCAGGGCTTTTGTTCCAGAAGCCGGTATTTGGGTGCTATTTGCAACGCTGCCTAAGCACGGGGGACCTTGGGACCGCACCTGGAGCCTTCAATCCTAGACCCCAAACCCCTAAGAAAGAACTCCAAACCCTGAACCCACACCAAAAAACAACCTAGGACCTTGGAAACCCCAAGCCAAGCTGGGCTGCGACGTTGAGGCCGGTACTTCGATGCATCCATCGGCGAGGCCTGAGACATTTGATAACACGTCCCAGGCTATCCGAGGAGGCTAGCAGGGCCAGACCACAGCCAGGCATAGCAGAGCTGCTCAGGCAAATGACCCGTCTTTTTTCGCACAAACGCTGGTGTTGTCCCGCCCACGGCCAATAGAGTCATTATTGGCCTTTGCTGTGGAAACCAGCTATGTCGAAACATGTGAATGTGAAGCTACGGAATAATGCTCCGTGTCTGATCCATCCTCGGAATCGGACACTGCCACCAGGAAATCACCGCGGCGACGGAGTTCCAAGAAGATCTTCTCCACGGCCTTCTCGCAGGTGCCTCTTAGCGCCTCGAACTCACACATGCGGCAGTAAAGCCACCCACTGGGAAGGCTCGTCAGGCTGCCACTTGGTACCTCGCCCTCGAGCTGCACAACTGCATCATCAGGAGTCTTTCCGGCTGCGGATACTCGAGCTTTAACTGGCGACAGCCCCTGGTTTGTAGAAGCCATAGACGTGCTGGCTGCATCCAGGACCGTCTCGAACGATGCCGAGGTGTCCAACATCCACCGATGCTCCGGAGACAGAGTGTGCTGCGTGGCTCGGTTGAATTGCGCAAGCTTCGAGCGCTGTTTCTTCATCTTCTCTGTGCGAACCCACTTGTCGTCACTCACACGCTTTGTCATGGCTGGGCTCACGACACTCTAGTGAGGTGCACGCTGCAAGCTGTGATAGTCTCCGTGGCTTTCACAAGTAGAAGGTTCAGGCAAGCTACTTTCAAAAGCAGGGCTTCCGCACAGCAACATGGATCTGCGACTGTGGAACTAGGCTGCCGACAATCGCGGGGTCATGGCCTGAGCAAGGCATCGGAGTGGGCAAAGCAATTAGGATATGCAGTGAAGCATCTCTAGTCCCTCTAGTCCTCAAGGTACTTTTTGTTGCATCTGCCCCCACACCCAGACAATCTGTACAGTGAAAGTGTTCATGCATCATGAGTCCATGCATTCTGCACAACGTATACAAATCGCTGTGGTGACTCTTGTCTGTCAATCAATATCAATTGGACATTCCTATTCCCAGGGCCGTCCTGTCATGATCCAGATGCTGGATGTGTTGCAGGAAGCCTTCAAGTGTCAAGAAGTGTTTGTGTTCAGACAAGGCCCTCTGACTTTCTTTCTCGGCCTTTGTCACCAAAGCCAAGTACTTAGCAGATTCCTTCCGTTGAAGCTGCAGGCGCAACCACGCCGCCAATGTGTCGATTGCCCTCCAAGAGCACTCGGGCATTTGAAGGACCTGCTTCAGCAATGCTGTCAAGGCCGGGTTGTCCGCAGCAAAAGCATCGGAAATATATAGATTTTTCTGCCTGCCAATGGCTGGCTGAAATGCCACCACTGCACCTTGGGACCCCCCTGTCCTCAAGAATTCCAGTGTGCCAATCATGCTGCCGTACATAGACGCCAGCAGCTGAACCGGGTGCCCAACACGTGCGATGTCCGGCACCACAAACAAATCCACCACCTCTGTCGGCTGGGCCCGACGCATGTTGTACTCGACAAGAACTCTGTCTATCGAAGGGTCGGGTGCTTGGAACCGCAAGCAGACAGTTTTGCCGAAGAGGCAGAAAACAGGACGGGCCATGCGTCTTTGGAACCTGTGCGCTTCCTGCTCTCGCTGGTAACGACGTCGATTCTCCTCCTCCTGGACTCGGGGCTCAGGGATTAGGGCTTGTTCGGAGGGTGTTAGTTGATGATATTGTAAGT